ATTTTGCCGACTAAAAAAAAAAGGTCCTCGTTTTCCAAAATTTGCCGACTGCCATGACGACATTTGCCGACTGTACTGTCTACATTACCGACTAACCTATATCGAAAGGGTTAACATTTGCCGACGAACTAGTCTAAAAGGATCCAATTAGCCGACTAAAAATCATTGATGGGGGGGGGGGGGGAGGGTGTCACACACCCCACACCCCTCTATCGCGCCGGCCTTGAGTGTTGGTCTTCGTGGATAATTTTAATAAAGCGGTTAGAAAGAAACGATATGACAATCTCAAAGACTTTCCTAGATATACCATGTGAAACAAGCTTATTGAGAAAACCAGTATGCCAAACTTTGTCGAAATCCGTAGATATGTCAAGAGCAATAGCCCTAGCCTTTCCGTTGCCGTCTAATGCACGATAAAATTTTTCAGTCATAGCAGTTTACAGTCGTAGAGTTACAGGACTGACAACATTGAATGTTTGACAGTTAGTTTTTTGACTAAAGGTGGGATGTGAGAAATTTTTTTATTAAAAAGACTCAAAGACCTTGCTAAAGCAGAAAGAAAACTGATAGGACGATAGATGGAGGGGTCAGAAAGTTCACCAAAGTGTTTGAAAATTGGAACAACAGATGCAATTTTCTAGTAGGCAGGAAAACAAGACTCATTCAAGCACTTATTAAATAGTTTAGAGAGAATTAAAAAGAGATCTGGAGAACAATTTTGTAAAACTATGATAGGAATGTTGCCTGGACCACAAGCCGTAGAAGAGTTTACTTAAGATATGACTTTAGCAACGGAAGCTGGAGTGATTTGAATGTTTAGCAATGAGTTAACTTGTTTAATTGGAATGGAAAAAGAGAATGGCCATAAGATTTGAGAGTCAAGTTAGGAGAAAAGCTTTTTGTAAATAGTTCTGTCTTATACCTGGGTGAGGTAATAAGATCATTCCCATGAATGAGAGATGGAATGTAAGACCTTTGTTAACAACGCTGTTGAAGATTTTCCAAAAGTCTCTAGAGCCTAACTTTTAAGATAAGATACGAGACTTAGTGAACTGAAAATAATGGAGCTTAGCACCTGACAGCACATTTTTGCATCAATATCTTGCAATAATAAACAGCCGTTTGTTCTCAAGAGAGTTGTTCTTTTGAAAAAGATGATTACGATTAGGTATAGCAGCAACACAAGAGGGTGCATGGAGTAGAATGAGGTTTGACTTGGAACCAACGAGAAGGAATAAAAGCTTCCATTCCTGCCTGAATCAAGGAGGTAACGCAGGAGGCGCATTTTTCAGCTGAGAGGGAAAAGACATTGGCCCAAAGACCGTCACAAAGAAAATCACGAATCCTAGTCAGCTTCAGGGTAGGAAGTAATGCGATGATAAGGTGAGTCCGAAAAGAAAGTACGAGATGAAAGATTTAAACAGATCATTGCATGGTCAGAACCACTTAAAGGAGAAAAAAGAGAAACTAAATATAAGCTAGGATCAGAGATCAGACATAAATCAAGGAGTAATGGTAAATGATTAGAGTTGTCAGGAAAACGAGACACAAAGTTAACTATAAGCCAGAGATTGAGAAATGCAGAAGTTATAGGCTTTAGTGCCAGCAGTCGATGGCGTTAGACCAAAGCTATTCAGTGTGGTTAGCATTAAAGTCACCAATAACAGCAATATTGGTAGAGGAGTAAAAAGAGAGGGTATGATCAATTTGATCAGAAATTATATCTAAAAGAGTGCAGTCTTGGGAAAAAGGAGAACAATGAAGAACAAAAAAAAAGGTGATTTTTTTTGTTCTTTTTATTATATTTTAAATAAGCATTTTGTTACAATATTTAAGATACAAATATAAAACAATAAAAAAGTATATATTTAGTGATTGTTATTAAAAAATAAAAGAAGGACGCGAGGACTCGTAGAAGACCATACGGTCTTGTCGTCGAGTACCGCTAAGAAATGTTTGTGTTAAAAGTTATAAGATATTTACAAGTTAAAAAATAAGTAACGATGTAATAAACTTAAAATATTCCCTTATAAATACAAGATACATAATATCTATTATATATGTAGATTACAGTTGTTAATATAGACATATATAGTTCATGTTTAAATAGAAGGTAAATAGGAAGATCACTAAAAAATATCAGAAGTATATTGTTAAATCTTCGATTATAAAAATAAGTTATTTAAGCTTTCGTTTAAAAGAAAATTAGTTACTTTGATGAATAAAATCCTCAGTAAAATTTTTTAAAACTATTTTATTCCATAGGAATGGTCCGCAATAATCAATACAAATTTTAAAAAGATTTGTTTGAATTTAAAAAGATTTAAAAAATTGGTTATTCAATAAAATTATCATTGTATGTATTTATCTTACATAAATGTATTTATTTTTATCTTTTGATGAATACAAATTACAGAAAGAAATCTGGGATGAATTGATTTTATATTTAAACATAAAACAAAGAATATTAAAAAAATTAAGCTCATATATATTAAAAACTTTCATTTCAAATAAAAGAGGCTTGGGATGAGTATAACGGTCTTTAAAATATATAAGACGTGCTACATGCTTCCGCTTCGATAAAGAGGTTTATATTTATTTTTATTTGTACTACCCCTAGCAATGTTTGCATAGTTTATGTGACAAAGAATAAATGAGTGATATAATTGTACTAAAGTATGTTTATTTGTGATAGAGTTAAGAGGTGATAGATTGAAGAGGTGCTAAGCGGAAGCACATAAAAGAATGGTCAAAGGATTCGAACCTGATTTCATGACAAATAGGTGAATTGATGCGTACGTATACCCCTAAGCCAAGTATGTGACTATTAGAGTCTTTGCGAATCAAAGGATAGTACCTATCAACATTAAGATCAGAAGAAGGAATCGTAATCGTGACGATCTTAAACATGACCTGACCTGGAGTAACTAAAACGAACTACTTCCCGGAAACAGTACCTTAAAACATTAGACATAAGTTTGGAAATGCATTAGGAAAAATATTAGATGTAACAAAATACTACAGATAAGGGTGAGCGTAGGTTTTATAGTCAGAGTGTTTTATAGTCAGTTAGTTAATGAGCTCACACTGCATCAAAACAGGTTTAAACATTTAAACAGAACATATACGTACATAAAGTAACTTACAGGTGAACCAACACTGCGCCAGAGGTTCAGAAACAACACAAACATACAGATGGCAATCTACAGGTGAGTGAACACCACTCCAGAGTTTCAGACAGAACACTAACATACAGATAGCAATTTTCAGGTGAGTCAACACCGTGCCAGAGGTTTAAACAGTACACAAACATACATATAAAATTGATTACAGGTGAGCTAAAACAGTAATTAAGGCATCTCCAGCTATATAAAATACACAAAAATATATATATATATTTTACAAATATATATATATATATTATATATATATATATATATATATTATATATATATATATATATATATTATATATATATATATATATATATATATATATATATATATATATATATATATATATATATATATATATATATATATATATATATATATATATATATATATATATATATATATATATATATATATATATATATATATATATATATATATATATATATATATATATGACAATAGGCATGACCAAAGAAAAAGAACAATGCTCTCTTTTTTTTATCTTTGCCAGTCTCTTGAGAATATAATTTTAGTTTTCAAAATAACTAAAAAAGTTAATGAATCAAAAAGGCAGGTTATTAAGTTGGTCCCAAATGAATAGGCAATTTTATAGCTGAACAAGATCTCGTAATTTAAGAACTTTGTAATCTTTAAGTAAGTAATAAGAATAAGTAATCTTTAATTAAAGTTGTGGATAGAGTACCTCGTAGTTATGATTGTTTGAAAATTAATTAACAAATTTTGGTAACATGTCAATTTGATATTTAACATAAATAATAAATTTTGGAACAGGTTTAACTCAGACATTGAGAGCTTTGTTTTTTGGTGTAAATTTTGTTTTCAATTACCTAATATTTTCCAATTAAGATGTTGATCAAATAACATTTTAAATTAAACATAAATAACTTAAATTTTATGATACAGGTATCATAAAATTTAAGACTGGTTTTAAACCTCAGTAAAAACCTAAATAAGTATAAAAAAAATTTTTTACTTTGAATACAAAAATAAAAAAATTTTTATCACAAGACTTTGAATTTGGTCAAGTCTGGTATTGGTACCTCGTACCAGCTTTTGTACAGCATTTAGGTCAAATCTACTGGCACAATAACAAATTGGGCGCTCAAGGCTTGAATTATCATTTGTAGACTCACGCGCACGATTTACTGTAGAGAAAATTGTATTTATATTGGAATAGGAATAAAAGAGACTAAGATCATCAGCAAAAGGAATAAAATTAGGCATGTCCGAGGAAAGGTAGATACCATTTACATAAATAAGATCCAGTAAGGGTCCGAAAAAAGAACCTTGAGGAACTTTACAGCTTATAGTTTTTAACTTTATATGTGTTGAATTATAAGATACCCTTTGTCTTCTATTTTTAAGATAACTTTGTTGCCAATTGCATTTTTTGCTTCATATGTTTCTAGCTTGAACAAGAGGATTTCATGATCGACAGTGATAAAAGCTTTTGACGTCAATGAACAAGCCGAGAATATAATTTTTGTTAGTAAACGCGTCTAGAATTTGATGCTTATAGAAAGGTGATATAGATAACGCGCTAATTCACTACTCACTCCCTTATAGCATCTTCTGTAAATAAGCTAAATTTGAGCTAGATGGACTAAAATTTTAAAAATAGCACTTTATGCCCAACTTGTGTCCTCATTACTTCTCATAAGTTTCATGTATTTAGTTTAAACAATAGATATAAACCGCCCAAAGTATAAATACTAGACAGTTTTAAATGCCAGTTTGTATAGCAATTTTTATCGTTGTGTAGCAATACTTTTGTTGAAAATCTTTTTTGAGAAGAAATCAAGATTACAAGAAGATACGTTGCAATAAATATAGATTATACTACAATCTTAATTACTCTTTATGTTATACTTAAATAATCCTTATAAAGAATGATACCAATGACGATCATGCTTATCGCCAATAACCGTACACTGTGGTTTATTAATGTTGGCTTGCAGAACACGTCATGATTTATTGCAATTTAACTATTTTTTCATGTAGACTTGAACAGGAAACAAAATTTCACACGATACCTATAATAAAAACAAAAATTATTCAGCGCTGAATGTCATACTCCTTTTTAAACATATATAAACTTTTACCACTACTGTAATTAAAGATTCTTAAATTTCAGAAAAGACTAAAATCTTTCACTCACCGTTCTCATTTCTTTTTGATAATTTCGAAGTTCTTGCACGTTTTCAAGTTTCCGAACCTTGGAGGAAAAAATATTATTTTATAGATAACCTGGTAATATTGCTATAAATATAATTTAAAAACAACAATAAGATTATTCTATTTAAGATTACAATCAGTTTCACGTAATTTCTAGAGTATACAAAAGCGTAAATCTTTCTTGAAAGTGTGTGTGTGTGTGTGTGTGTGTGTGTGTGTGTGTGTGTGTGTGGTGTGTGTGTGTGTGTGTGGTGTGTGTGTGGTGTGTGTGTGTGTGTGTTTGTGTGTGTGTGTGGCGTGGAGAGAGGCCAACGAGGCTTCTTGGTCTATTGTGTACTTTGCCTCCTAATATTACTACACATATAATTAGTAAATTTCCAATGTGCAATTTTAGTGTTCCTATACTTTAGATGGCACATTTAACGTTTGATATTATGCAAAGATAACCAAGCTGTGAAGAGAAGAGTTCTACTTCTCAGAATTAACACTTTGACGTAACTAGTGGAGTTTATACAATATTGAGAAAACAAATCATTCAATTGGGATCTAAAAAGAATTAAAAGAATGGAATACACATATTCACAGCATCAATTTTTGGATTAAGTTGTTATTTTTTAATTTTTGAAACAACTCTTGTTAAAAAAACTTTTGAAATTTTCCGACCTTCCAGAGTAGGAAATATTTTATCCTTAACATTAATTGCTTCAACTTAAATTTTTTTTTAAAACAAATCATAAAAAAATAAAGTGTAATTGGAAACCACTGAATTTTCTTGAATATAAACAAAAAAAATGCACATTGATATTTTGCAAAGTATTAAAATAAGTATTACAAAAAAGAAATGGTTTTTAAAAAATGAGGCAAATAATCATGAGTTAGATCACAAGAAATCACATTAGTAAATTAAGGAGAGAAAGTACATAACAGACCAAGTTATTGGTTTCTTTCCACACCACATATACTTTCAAAACAGATTTATGCATTTTTATAATAAAATCTTGCATACCTTGAAATAATACCACAAGGTTTTACATTAAAAAAATTAGTTTATATGCTTCATGAGTTGAGAAGCTGTGCTTAATATTAACAGTAATATTAATATCTTTTCACAAACTAATTTTATATATTTCAAATACATACATGTATTAGGATAAAAAATTGAAAACATAAAAATTTTGGAACTCAATTTAAATTTAAATATTTTTGGTAGCTTTTATATTGTCTATAAAATTCTGTACATATTTTGAAATAAAAACATTTCAAACAAATAACAAGACTGCACATCAGTTTTAATGGCTGCTAAAAGCCACTAAAATTGGCAAACCCGCTCAAATTTGTGTTTGTAACGTGGTAAATTGACTCATCAATAATTAAACTAATTAAAACAAAATTAAAAAAGAATTAAGAGATTTAAATAGTTTAATTATACAAATTAGGTTTTTTCAACCTAGTAATAGTAATATACTTAAATAAGTCTATTTAGGTTTCATGACAAATAATTAAAAAAAATAAAAACAAAACTAATAAATTATACAAAAATCTATGGTTAATAAAAAATAAAATTTAAGTAAAAAAAAGCATTTGTTTTTTCATAGCAAGTAAGTTGATATCAAAACTAAGAAGAGAAAAAAGATTGCTTTCATTTAATTAAAGTTTTCGTTTCTAACAAATAAAAATCTAAAAAAGTCAATATTTGTAACTGCTAAAGCAGGAATTAATTAAAAAATGTACAGCTCATCTTCAGTAAAGATAGACTGTTTGCAGCAGTAGAAAAAAAAACTTGTCATTTCTATTTTTAAGTGCATTAACTGGCAACATTAACATGCCTTTTTGCATAATTTTCCGTTAACATGGAAAGTTATTTCAATCATTGACAATACGATTTTTGTAGAAATTATGACGAGCATTATTTTATGTGAATTCACAGATTAGCAAGTGATCTGCAAAATGGTGGTTTATGCCAATTGATAATCTTAAAAACGTTTTTTAGTTTAAACTGTTGGATTTAAGATGTTAAATTGAGACGCTGAGACCTTTTAGCATAAGATAATCCTATTAAATGAGGTACTTTTGTTTTGTGCTGAATTTTTTCAATTTCTTTGATGTCACTTTTTAAGTAAGGACGCCAAACTGTAACAGCGAACTCCAGAAGCTGTATAGTTTACTCCAAAGATTTATATCTCTTGATCTAAATGTTTTTTTTAATAGGCCGAGTAGGGTAGTCCGGGTCTAATCCGAACGCAGGGCTAATCCGAACAGTTTATTTTTTCTAACTTATTTTATGTATTATTCAAAAATGAAGCATCAAGTTTTGATTAAACTTGTTTTATATACTATAAAACAAGTTTAATCAGAACTATATAATATTTATTCTTTCGAAAACACGTTTTCCGTTTTCCCATAATGGCTAAATTTTGAAATTTTTTTAACTTTTAAAACTCTTTAACTTTTAAAAAACCCATTTATTTATTTTGTATTTTTTTACAAAGATAGCTTTTAATATAAGAATTTTACGCAGAATTTGTTGTAGTATTCCATTTTTTGGTACATTAAACTATTCCACCGGAATTTTGACATTGAAAAAATGAGGTTAATCCGAACATTTGCGGGGCTAATCCGAACATTGTTGTTGTTGGCCGGTATCTCTATACTTTAGCATTTATTTAACAAGTTATATGTAAAGTTATAAGTAATTAATTTAACTCAGTTAATTAAACCTCATTAACGTCATTAAATATTGATTGCGGTTTCAGTTTGAATAATTTTTTGGTTTTGTTTGTTTTGTTGAGGAGAAGACAAGTAAACCAAATAATATACTTAAATTAAATTTTTACAGATAAGCATTCTTTTACTTGGTTTCTTTATTTTACTTTTTAACTTTAACTCTATCACTTTTATACTGTGATTGACGGTGATTGATTGTGTTTAAATATGCATTTTACATGATTTTTTTTCTGAATTTTTTTAGTTTTCATAGTGGTTTGTCATTATAAGAAAAAAAAACCATCTGCCTTATATACTTCAGAATATATTGAGCAAGCCATAGCAAAAATTCAAGCAGGTGCTTCAATACGTATATGTGGCTGCATCAATGTATAACATTCCTGTCATTACCCTTTGTGACCACTTATCTGGAAATTCAAAACATAGTAAAGGGCATCTAACAGCCTTATCTTTTAGTGAAGAGGAATACATTGTATCCTCATTAGAATATGCATCCGATTTTGGTTGCCCACTAAATCGAAAAGACATTAAAGCAATTGTCACCCAATTTTCGAACAGTAGTGTAGGTAGAGTACTTCCCTGGGATAGTAACGGGCCGGGTGACAACTTCTTACTAGGCTTTGAAAAAAGATGGGTTTCTTGAATATCTAAAAGAACTCCAGAAGTTTTTAACAATTTCAAGAGCTATATCTCTTTCTGTGAAAAACGTAACAAATTTTTTTGAAACCGTTAAAAGAGTTTATGATAAATATGATTTACATAATAATCCTGACCAATGTTATAATCTGGATGAGTCCGGATTTTCTTCCAGTGAAGGAAATAAACAATGTTTTCAGACGTGGCGTTCATTTCACCCCCAAATTAAATGCTTCTTGTGGCAAAACTATGTTCTGGGTATTAATTTTTGGAAATGCTACTGGTTTTCTTATGCCACCTCTTGTAGTTTATCAAGGCAAAAATCTTCACAACACTTGGTGTATGTGGGGACCTCATGTGCTGTATCTAAGTCAGGGTGGATGGAAGCATATGTCTTTGAAAATTGGTTTAACAAGGTAAGTCTGCTAGTAAGACTTTTTCAACATAAATTTTTGTTTATTATTTTACTCTTTCAATGTGTAGATATGTTAAACTTTACTTGTGTTTTTTTTTTTAATATTTAAGGTCTTTATTCCTTACAAAATTAGTCAACATGGAAAAGATGTGTATATAGCACTATTTATGGATGGTCGTGGCAGCCACCTTACATATATTCTTGCGTCAAAGGCAAAATCCAACAATGTAAGCGGCTTTATCTTAAAATTAACAATAATTTCCTAATTTAGTTTCATTTAAGCTTTTATTGATAACTTTCTGTAATTTATATTGCACTCATTTGCCTTCCCCCAAATAGCAGTCACACTTTACAACCTTTAGACGTCGGTTTCTTTAAACCAATGAAACAAATTTGGAGAGACATTTTGCGCAATTTCTTCCGAGAATCTCGCCATACGTTGGTCGACAAAGCAATTTTTCCAACTTTACTGAGACTAACTTGGTTGAAAATAAACAGAAAAAATTAAGAATCTGGTTTTGTAGCCTCAGGTCTATATCCGTTAGATCCATCAAAAGCTGCCAAAAAAGTGCTGGTGACGACAGAGAATACAAAAGATAATGACTCTCCTCATTGTGATCTTCGAGCTGCTATTTTAAAAGTGTTGTCGCCAACTCCATCCAAAGACACTTTAACAGCTATAAACAATAAAAGAAAAGGAAGAAAACAAGTGCAAGCAGAATATGGCGTGGTTCTCACTGAAAAAGCTGCCTTAAATCCAAGAAAAGAAGAAGCGGCTTCAAAAAATAAAAATAAAAAACTTGCTCAAAATAAAAGGCGAATTTAAAGTATAAGTTATTTAAGAAAAAGAAAATATCAGCATTTTATGTATAATTTTATCCTTGAATATTTCTTCAAAAAATTGATATTAACAAGCGTTTTTTGCGCACATCAACTTTTGTTCGAATTAGGCCCTGCATGGGGCTATTCCGAAAAAGGCATGTTTTTGTATCAGGCTCTGCAAATACAATATGTCTTTCTTTAAAAATGCTTGAAACATTTGCTTAAAACATACAATGTAAAAAAAAAAAAAAGTTATTGCAAAAGCTAAAGAGAAAAAAAATACAAAGTTTAAAACAATGTTTTTGTTCGGATTAGCCCCGGACTACCCTATCATATTTGTTTTACATGCTGCAACCTGTATGTGTTGATTCCATTTTAGATTATTAGATATAAAGATACTCAGGTTTCTCTCAACACCTGTTGCCTTAAGAGTAAAAGATATATTTCCATCATTATTAAATATATTCATGATTACTATTTTCATAACCAAGGTGCATAACTTTACATTTTGCAATATTCAATTCCATTAGCCATTCTTTTAACCACCCTGTGGTAATGTTTAGAAGAATCAGACAATCAGCATCACGAAAATCAGGTCTTAACTCTTGTAAAGTTTAGTGTTGTCAGCACAGATTTTATGAACTGATTTTATCTTATCCATAAAGTCATTTTTATTGATAGTACAGACCCTTGTGGAACTCTGCTTAGAACATCGGTCCAGTCGCTATAATGTTAATTGTTCACCTAAAACAGTTTGCTGTTTTCTACTAATCAAAAATGACTCAATCCATTTGAGAATATTGGCATTGATCCCATATGCTTTCAATTTATGAAGTAGCCTATGGTGAGAAACTTTATCAAATGCTTTCGCAAAGTCCAAAAATACAATATCAACAAAATTTCTTTTACTTATTGCTTTTGTAATGTAGTCAACATTACACGTAATGTAATACTACCTAATTCTAAATTTACAAAAAACCAAAAATTTATTTAAAAATAGTTTTTTGCTTTGGTTTCTTTTTTTTTCCAGTTTAATTTAAACACATAAAAACATATTTTTAAAATTGTTACACACAATAAATAACTTTATTGAGATATTTGTATTTTATATTTGATCCTATTGAAAGTTAATGTCCTGGTCATGGTGCCCAGACAATATATCGAAGGGTTACATAATGTTCGCTTTGAGTAATAAATAAAATAGCAATAGTTTACTTGTTTTTTTTGGGTATACTCATCCAAATCCATTTCTTGCATTTAAGTAGACATTAAACAAAATGTTCTATGAGATACTTCTTTTTGTCAACTGGTTATGGTTGACTTAATCCAAAAATTACATGTACTTTTGCGATTCCATGACGCCATATAAAACAAAGCAAATAAAATTAACTGTGAAACTCTTTCTCTCAATCCAAATATGTTTGAGTATTCATCAAAATTTTTACTATTCACACTCTATCAATTTTTTTACTAAAATACTTCAAACCGGATTTGAAATTCTTTGAATAAACTGTTATTAAAATTCCAAGCACCATATGTTATTAATTAAAACTTGTTTTTGTAAATGAAGAATTATGTTAAAACGATAACTACTCAACTATGCTCTAAAATTGTAAAAGTAAAATACTATATAAATTATTTCTTTTCAATAGTTCAATAATTTATATATTTTAATAATTAAATAATAAATACAGTAAAAAAATACATAACCTGCCAATTTTACCCGCTCACTAGAAACAAGCTTTAAATATAAAATGTTAACCACTTAATGAGCTCCTAAGAAAATCTTGCTTCTTAGTTAATGAAATAACTTTTGCTTAAAAATAATTTTAGTTTATGAATTATGACATTTTTTAGAAACGCCAATGATAATAAAGAAAATAACAAGTTTAACTATTATTTAACTAATAAAAAATTTGTATAAAATTAATATATATATATATATATATATATATATATATATATATATATATATATATATATATATATATATATATATATATATATATATATATATATATATACATATATATATATATATATATATATATATATATATATATATATATATATATATATGTATATATATATATATATACATATACATATACATATACATATACATATATATATATATATATATATATATATATATATAATATATATATATATATATATATATATATATATACATATATATATATATATATATATATATATATATATATATATTAAAAATAATATATATATATATATATATATATATATATATATATATATATATATATATATATATATATATATATAATAATACACAATACGTTATTTTTGTAAATTTTTGTCAAAATTGTTTGATACTATCTTAGACTTTCTTTCAATGCACTTTTCTATAAAGTTTTGTGGTCATTTTGATTGAAATGCTTTAGAACACAGTGGTATATATTTAAAAATTATAATTGTGGTTTGTTGAAATGTTTGGATAACTGGAGTTTAGGGCACCACTTATATTCCTTTTATTATTGCTTATAGATTTTTTTTTTTAATTTATACTTATCCATTCTGGCAAGCTAAATTAGAATTTAAAATTAAGTATTATATTATTTTCCTAGTGTTTTTAATCATTTATATTATTCACTACTGCAAGCTGTTGATAGTTGTTTTTGTTAATTAAATTATTTTTCACTATAAATGATTTGATTTTTTTTTTAAATATCATTTGCAGTCATGGCTAAAAAAAATATTTAAAACTGTGGAGTTAAAAAAATTAAAAAACATTCATAACTTATTTTTAGGATGTGTTATTGCCAACAACAGTCATCAGTAAAAAGCATGACATCAAACAATATAATGCCTGCTACTGTCAAGAGAATAGTTGAAAATGGAGAAAAATGCTAAGCAGTTGCAGCAGACTACAACATTTCTCATGTGTCACTCAGAACATACTTCATCAAAGCCAAAATGACCTTGATCAGTTCAAGGCTGGGGTACCATAACAACGGAAATGTTTTTATTGCAGAAAAAGAAAATAAGCTTGTAAAAATACATATTAAAGGCTTCATGAGTAAATTATAACCACACTCCTGCCAAAGTGCAAAGGTTTGTTTACAAAAAATCAAAATAAATTACTGACTTTCTTCATTTTTAAAAAGAAAACCAGAGCTAGCAATAAGAATACCTGGTGCTACATTGCTAAGTCATGCCATCAGCTTTAACAGGTAAAATGTGAATTCATTTTTTGACAATTTGAGTTTGGTACAATACATGGCTTTACAACAGATATTTGAAATGAGTGAAAAAATATTTATGTGTCTTAAAGAAAGCCATGACTTTAGTGAAAGTGTATTGCGCAGTGAACCCTGCATGTAATCCTCCACATATGGTTATTTTTCGCCTAGAAAATTTCTGCAACCATCTTTTTGTTTTTGTTTTTTTGTTTAATGGTCAGACAGGATGCACCGGAATTAGGAATTTATCTGGATGAATGAATAGACAGGGTTTTTTGCTGTTCATAAAACACTTTGTGACTCAAGTACAATGCATCCCATAGCATCCAGCTTTATTACTACTCGATAATCATAAGTTGCATATTAATTTAGAAGTTTTAGACTTTTCAATTGCCAATGGAGTTAAAATGTTGTCTCTTTTGACTCATTACTCACACAAACTGCAACATTTGGGCATTTGGGCAGATCTGTCTGTTTTCCTTTTAAAAAGCTCTTCAACAATACATGCATCACACCGATGAATGCAAATAAAAGCAAAACAATGACAACTTATTACATTCCAAACTGTGTCAACTATGCATTTCCTCTGGCAACAACACAGAAAAATGATCTCAAATTTAAAATTAAAATTAAGGACATTAACTTAGTTTCAATGATCTCAAACAGAAAGAGAGACAAAAAAACTTAAAAGCAGTATGAAGCCTGCATTAGTCAAGAATAGCAAGATGAAGCTATTAGTCAAGAATAGTAAGATATACTATCAAGTAAAGTTGGGCAATTCTAATCCAAGAGAAAACTGGATTAGAACTGGACACAAATACTAACAATTTACTATACTTTTGTAATGCATTTAATATAGTTAAACATGCACTATTTTTATAATTTCATATTTGTTTCAATTAGCCACAAAAGCAGATAATATTTTTGAAGCACTTTAATCAAAGATGTATTGAAAACTGCATAACTAAATTTGATCATTGTGTGCTTTAGTAAGCAGTATTTAGGAAATAAAAACAAATTTATTTTCATTATTAGTTTCCAAATAGTCCCAGTCTCCGATTTAAAGAATTGAAATATTGTTATTTTCAACCCCTGTTATTTATAAAATCATAATAAATTATAAACTAAGGTTTCCAAAATATTTTTTAATGATCTTTTTGTTTTAAAAAAAAATCTTTATTGAACATTTTTTAAAAAAAGGTTCACAGAAAAAAAAGGTGAAAAACAATGCAACTGTTAATTTTTTTTTACTGATTTCACAACAATATTTGAAATCATTAAAAAAATTAAAAAATCCTGTATTTTTTTGTTATAGCTAAAATTCTTATAATTCTTTTAGAACATGAATTTTTTTTTTTTCATTGTGTGATCTGATTAACCAAAACATCGCAGTAAGGCTACCAATAATCTATTGGTTAATCAAAACATTGTATAACTTATTTTAAGACAACATCAGAAAAAAAGTTCGCCAGGAAAACATCACAAATAGTAGAAAAAATTAGGATGACTGGGTTTCAGCACATGGAAATATAGTGGTTTCAGCAGACAAGGTAGAGGTAAAACATAGGTATAAATAAAAAATGTAGCAGAAGACAAAAACTATTTTTTTTAAAAATGATAAATTTAGAAGGGCAGCAATCAAAAAGTCAAAAAGAAAAAATTAACAAAAACATTAGTAACAAACTTACAGCGTATCCTCTCCAAAATGATTGTATCTTGATTGCTGCTTCCTCGTCACTCCAAACTAATGACAACGGCAGAGGAGGTCTAGGACTAACACGATTAAAAAAAATTTAATATTTTAATTTATGATTACACTGGTATACATTATTACACTAGGACTTAGTAAAAATCCCAATATATAGGTTGTCATGGTAACAACCCTAAATACTAGGTTGTCAGACAGCTATTCAGTTAAGTCAGACATAACCAACTTTTAAAATTTATTCATTTTTTATATCTTGTCTACAGTGTGTAAACATTTTACAACACATATTATAAAAAAGGCAAAGATTAGATATATCATGGGTATACTGGCAAAAAGCGTTAACTCAAAAATCCCTGTTTAGAGAAATCAATCATTTAAATGTTTTTTGTAACTTTTGGTAATAAAAATTTGTAACTTTTATAATATTATCCATAAACAGGTAACACTAAATTGATTTAATATTTTTTTTCAGTACAAAAATAATTACCATGACTCTTTGAAAAGTAACGGGTTATGCATAAGTCTTCGAACTTTTTTTATAGAGTCGTAAAAAAATATTGTTAGTTAGATAAAAAAATAAAACTAAATGGTAATAAAGAACATTCATTCTAGTATTTATTAATATATTTAACATATTGAATAGACGCCTCTATCAGCGATTTTTCTAAGTTTTGTTTTAACACTCATCATTAGTCTTTGTAACAGATCTGGATCATTTTCTTTTATTTCATTTAATTTGCTCTTTATTCTTCAAACTAGTTGATATATGCTACATGCTCTCCAACCATCACTGTTTACCATCTGACTTAAAGTAGCCCAAAATGTTTCAATTGGTCTAGCCTGTGGAACATTTGGTGGATTAGTGCATTTTGGTACAAATTCTATGGAATTATCAATAAACCAATTTTCTGTTTTATTAGCATAATGAGCAGTTGTAAGATCTGGCCAAAACACAAAATTATTATCTTTATGATGTTCTCTAACAAATGGTATAAATCTTTTCTTCATACATTCTTTCACATATATATTGGATGTTATTGAATTCTTTGATCTATGTATATAAGGTTCACAAAATCCATTTGAAGAAATGCAAATCCAAACCAATACCTTTTCTTCAAATTTTTTTTTCAACTTATATTTTACATTATCAGGGGCTAACAATTTATTATTTGTATAATATATATCATTTCCAGGTATATTTGAGTTTGATAGGTTAAAATATTTTTTCGTCATCCATGATTATATCTTTTTCATGGAATACTTTATTAACTAATCTTCTCGATGATGTTGCTGCTCTCTGTTGTTGATCTTTTTCATGCAAAGGTGCTTTTTGTATTTTGTAGCATTTAATATCTGTTTTGAAATTAATAGTTCTTGAAATTGTGCTTTGGTTCACCTTAAAATAGGAAGCTAAATACTTTTGACTAATACCAGTTGAACTATTTTGCATTTTAGTCAATCGCTTGACTTTTTTCTTATCCATTTTTGGAGGACAACCTGATCTAACCAAATCATTATACACACCATACATCTCATACCTTGCAAGAATACTAAATATAGTTGACTTTGGTATTCCTTCATTTTTAAAATGTTTATATGTTAATTTCTTTTTATCACTTGAACGATTTTCATAGAACGTCACAATTCGTTTTGCGAGGGCTTCTCAATCAAACCTTGTCATTTTTTTGTATAGAAGTCTAGATAAAAACTAAAAGTGATTTAAATACATTAATGTTTGATCTTCAAAATAAACAATAAGTTGAAGGTTGAAAAATAACTCTCCTTATTTAAATCAGTTTCAAAAAAAGTTCGAAGACTTATGCATAACCCGTTATTAAGTAATTTAAAGCTTTAAAGCATTTAGACTAAATTAAACAATTTTAAAAAATATAAGTTTTATGAGTTAAATGTATTTTTATAACCATAGCAAACATAGCAAAGATGTTTCATTTGACTAATTGTATTTAGCCAATTTGAAGAGTTTGACAATTTTTGATATAACATCTTTTGCCAGTACACCCACGATATCCTCCATAGCCAGTACAAGCACTAGGGTGCAAGTGTTACACTCTTTTTTTAAAAGATAACCTAAATGGTCTATGATATGAATCATCATATTGCCTATGCCTGAATAAAAACGCTATATGTGTTCCCATGAATCATCATAATGATCATAATGATCATGATGATCATAATCATCATAATCATTATGATGATTCATGATCATGAACATCATCATCATTGTTGTTATTGTCATCATCATCATCATCATCATCATCATCATCATCATCATCATCATCATCATCATCATCATCATTATAATCATCATTAAAGCCACATTATCTTTTTTAATACTCACAAAACTAAAAAAATCTTTGTTGACCTTCACTTTTGTTGGCTTTCACTTTTGTTGACCATCACTTTTCCTTTTTTTTTAAAAACTTTGTTAAATCTGTCTTACAATAAAAAATACTTGTTTTACTAGTAATAAATTTTGAATAAAAATTTCTAGATTGAATTAATGAATGCATTGGCAAAAACTCATGGTGCATGTTGTTGATAAATGTGTACATTTTCTTATATTAACAATAACTTCTTTTTAAAAATTATTTTTTTGTTTTTTTAAAAAAAGGTGTAATCATATATTTAAATAAATATTCTAATATAAAATCTATTATCACACAGAGTATTCTTATTTTTTTTATAAGATACACAGCCCAGTTCTCATCTTTATTACTAACCAATTTATAAACAACTCATTTTTTAACCTCTCACTTTTCACCAGAACTACCAATTTCATTATTAATAGAGTTGAATCACCTGATTTTGACCCTCGATTTTAGACCTTATGTGACTTATTCAATGTAAAAAAATTATTCCTTGTATACCAGTGTTATGAAAAATGTAAAACAGAAAATAAAGCAATAAGGAATGTTAGGAAACTTTACTTTTCAAGCATAATTCTTTGAACAAAGGGGATATTTTCTAAGAATGCATCAGCTCGGTTCGTATATCTTGGATTATTTCTTTAAAATTAAAAAAAAATTCTCTAAATAATAACTAAAACTTGTGTCAACAGAAATGAGTAGAGATCTTAAACTTTTTACCAAAAATTTAATGTACCAAATAAATAAATTAAATATTAAAACCTGTATAAATACTCAGAAATATAATCGCATGCATTAAATCTAGATCTCCTTTTCTAAAAGAATAATAATATTTAATAATTTTCAACTAATTATATGCTTTTTAAAAAAATTAAAATAGTTATTTTAAATTAAAGTGAGTAAAAATTGACTGAGGAAAAAATTTTAGACTCAGATTGACAAGCACTTTATCTGTCTTATGACAATAACTTTACTTATATTAACTTAATGTCACATAATAGCAATAACATTATAGGTAATTGCATATAATGGCAATAACACTGCCATATAGCGGCAATAACAATAATTTTTGCATGTAATTATTTCTAATATTTTTTATTATATTACTGTAAATAACTTTTTGTACTGTAAGTACAACAAGTTACAACAATTACAACAATTTTGTTTACATGTTTGTAAACAAAATACAACAAACAGTTTGTAAACAGTTAATTAAATCATTATTAACTTTCTATATTGTAAACATACAGGGGCAAGAGGGGTTTTATTTTTTAATGTAAATTAATAGCTAACTTCCACACATGGAATAAACTCCAAACATATGTTTATGATTATGTAAAACAAGGATGCTTTGTAAAAAGTTGCTACGATCGGAGCTTGGGGACAAAAAACTCTACCATTTTGCTGCCTTTCCCCAGCCCTTTAAATAGGAGCAAGAAGTTTATAATAAATTTTTTACTATTTTTATCTAAAATTATATTAATCAACAATTTCAAATTTCACACTATAATCTTATAGAGTTTGGTTTTTATGACCCTGCAAAGTTTACAGCCTCCTCAAATTAAGGGTGTTAAAACTTTATATGGTCATAATTTTATAAAATAAGAGATTTCTATGTTTACATTATGTAAAAAGTGCTATGAAAAAACATGAAAAATAAACAATTATATAAACTAGTTACACAATTAATGGTTTTATTTGAAAGATGTTTCTTTTAGATGCTCCTTGCATTTAAGAAAAAAAGTATACATTCATTTTTTTTTTTCCATATATGCATAAAGCACATATCTTTACAAAAAATAACAATAAATTGCCAATTCTATGATAAATGCCCATTCTATATGCTTCTTCAAACTTTGCAGAAAATTTAGCTTTAGCTATTACAAATAATGACATATTTAAAAAATCATATTATTTTTGTTAATAAAGTCACGCTTAAAAATATCAGTCAAAAATAATAGTTGTACAGATATAGAGAAAAAAACCACAGTGTTTATGTTTTATTTTCAACAGCTCTGTTACTTGAAAATAGCCGTAAAAAAAGTAATTCAGTAAGTTTTATGCTAAGGACATTTTTAATGAGCTCTTTTTTACTTTTACTTGAGTATACTTTTTGACTGGTAACGTTTACTTGCATTTGAGTAACATTTCACATAAGTAACAGTACTTTTACTTGATTAAAAAATTTTGTAATACAACAGCAAAACTCACATCAGACTAGTTAGAAGACCGATATTTAAAATAAATTTAAGTAACATTGTGTTACCTCCCAATGTTTTATCATTAGCTACCAAGAAATAAAAATATAATAAAATTTAAAAATGTGATATAATTATACTGTATTCCATCAAGAAATTTATATTAAAAATAGCTACTAACAACTGAAACAAGCATTTAAGATACCAAAAAGATGCAAAGATGACTATAAGATTTGCAAAATTCCGTTGAGACTTGTGAATATTACTTTAGTGTTAAAGTTTTTTCATCAAATGCCAGCTTCCCTTATTGTATATATTTAATTTGACAAAGTTTAACTTATTTATGGAACTCAATAATATTAGGCCATTTAAAGAGGTTAAAATAGTATGTTAAAAATTTTGCAATACATTTGCAGTAAAACTATTAGTAAAACATATCATTTTGCAATACATTTGCAATAAAACTGTTAGTAAAACATATCATTTTGCAATACATTTACAGTAAAACTGTTATCATTTTGCAATACATTTACAATAAAACTATTAGTAAAAAATATCATTGTCAAAAAAAAAAGAAAAAAAATTAGAAAAAATAAACTTTTTATAAAAACAAAAAGTTGTATGTAAAATTATGAACAATTTAACCTGGAAACAAAACAATATCTAGTGAGTACAAAAGCATTGAAAACAGCTGATAGAACTTTGAACCAGAAAACTACTTTATGGAAGATGTTATCTCTGTAAAGTATTTTTTACTAAATTTATAAATTTTAGATTCAAGTACTAACAATATATTCCTTAATTTATTTTCACAACAAATTTTCACCCAAATTTACTGAGTTTTGTAGAACTTATGGTCACAAGTTTATTTTTATAAAGTTTTTTAACATAAAAAAAAAATTGAACTAAAGCAAAAAAAAAAGGATTTTTTAAATTACGAATTTTGACAGATTTGAGAAAAAATTTAAAATTCATATCTTACCGGGATGCCAGGATAAAAAGTGCAAACAGAATTTGATTTAATAATCACCTTTTTTTCATATGTGATTGTAGTAATGTATATGATTGTGCTAAAGTATGTGATTGTACTAATGAATTAGTATTTATGTTATCTGCATTCTTTAGTTTATGTAAAAAATTTTTACAAACAGGGTTTAGTATTATTTTTTACAACACCAATGTGAATAACACTACATCAATACAGTATGTTATAAATTTACAAAACGTGCTTTCTTGGTTCTGAAAATTAAAGAAATTTATCTTTCTTTTTATAAAAAATCAAAATCCTTGATCTTTTAAATAAATAAAAATTTGGCAAGCCTTTTGCAATTGTGGAAAAAACTTTTTTTGATTATGACTTAATATTTGTGAGATTTTGAGAAAACAAACTTTTGGAAATTTTGATTTAACATTTGTAATTAGATTGTAAATAACATACTTAATTTTGAGTTCACATCTAATGCAGGATGTAAACTAGCCCTGTGGCGCCCAGTCAAATGCAGTATTCCCAAATAAAGTTTGCCAAATAAAAGTTTAATAATAATTCTAAAAATTATTGAAAATTAATTATTACTAAAAACTTATTGAAAAAAAAAAAAAATTCTAATTTGTTAATTGTCTAAAACTTGAAATAAAATTGCCATTATTGGTATAACTATGTGATTGCATAACTGCGAAAATGTCACTTTGACAAAACTTCTTAAGAATTGGTATTTTCCGAGCCAATTGTAGGGATTTTTTTGGTAACTTGTCAGTAAAATTAGTTTCTTTTAATTTACAAATAATTTTGTTCAATGCATTCCAACATCAGCGAATATTATATAAAAAAGTTAACAAGAAATAAAGCACTAATCTAAAAAATCTAATTAATAACAAATTTGTTTGGTTTAACACCATTAAATACTATTTCTTTAAAAGTTTGAAAAGTTAAATAACTTTTTAAGTCTTACTGCAAACTCAACTTTAAGTAGTACATGTTTTTTGTCAACAAAAATATTGAGAAGCCGTTTACGTCAGATACTTTTAAAATTCTGAACATTTACAGTTATTACAATAAGGGGTTATCCAATTACACAATGCAAAATATTTTTAAAAATTACACAATTGCAAATTACACAATGCAAAATATATTTAAAAAACAGAAGTTGGAGATATTAAGCTGTTTTACACAGTGATTGTCATTAAACTGAATGGGCTATTTTGATTTTATATTTGAATTAAGACCCTGCGAAAGGAAACTTTTGATCTTTTTTGTTTTGTTTATTGTGAAAGTTAGCGTTATGTAATTTATGGACGATCCCTAAGTCTTTTAGTTATTGTTTTTCATTTTTTTGTTTGGTATTTTATATCAACTGTATTAGATGATCACATCCACTAAAATCTTTTTTCAATTATCTACTATTAATTTACTTTTTTAAAAAATCACCTCTGAAATATAAGTTAAGTACAAAAAATATTTTATAATTATAACAAACCGGTACTTCAAATTTATTGAACAAGGAAAATAGATTTCTTTACTTTACTGATTGCTTGTATTTAAAACTTAAATGCGTATATTAAAACATAAATTAAATATGTTTAATAACAAGAATGTTTTTTTAATCTAGATAAAAAATGATAGGTTTATAAATGGAGCAATAAATACAAATAATTAAAAACACCAACTAACACTTGGACATAAAATGTTTTTTTTGTTAACATTTCTAAATGAAGTAATACTCTTTAAAAACATCAATTAAAATCTCATTTTAAAAAAACTAAACAAATTTAAAGTAAATGCGCAAATTTTATCTTTTGATGATATCAATTAAAACATCATACTTTTTAGCAATACTTTAAGTTATAATATTTAAGCTTTAAAAAGAATTAAAAAATTTTTAAAAATTTAAAAAAATATAACGATGAAGTAAACTTTATTGAGCTGTTTGATATCACATTTGCAAATGTAGCTTTGCAATAAAGACAAAGAATTTTTTCAGGTTCGAATACAAGCATAATTAAATATAAGAAAGTTCATTTAGCAGAGTTAGCTTTTTTGAATGCCAACCATTGATATTAAAAAAAGCTAACAACCATTGATGTTAAATAATATCACTAGTTATTCATTTGAGATGTTATTAAAGATTATGATGCATTAAAGAAATTATTAAGAAAACAAAATAAAATGCAGAAAATTTGCTATTTGAAAATTTTGGATGATGAGATGGCATAAAAACACTATCATTTGGTAGAGATTTTTAAATACCTTGATAAAAAACTTCCAAAAAAAAAAGTAGCTAATCAACTACTAAACTTGTCAAACGCTTAGTGCAATTCTTATGCAATTTATTTACTGCTTGCATTTGTATTATTGGAAATTTAAAAAAAGTGCAACAACATCTGTGCAACTATATCTGGAAATTCTTCAGATGTAGTTCATCTTTTAAATCATCTAAGTGTAAAAACATCTGTGCAACTATATCTGTGGATTCAAAAAAATATTAACTAATAATGCAATATTTTAACCAGATAAAGTTACATATAGGAATTTTTTTTAGATGTAACTACATCTGGGAAAAAATATTAACTTATATGCATTAAATTTTATTCAGATGTTAAATATAGGAATTTTTTCAGATGTAACTACATCTGGAGAAAATTTTTCCAGATGTTATTGGACTTGGAGAAAAATTACCAAATCTAGTTACATCTTCCTAAAGATGTTATTAGGGGTCATTGAATTTTCAGATGGTATTGGACAGATGCTGTTAGAGTAAAAAAAAAATACAGACGATCTTGGACAAAAGTGTACAGATGATATTAGACTACTCCACAGATGTTGTTGGAAAAATGTAGTGATCTTTTACCAATCAAGTTATGCATACTTGATAGACATGTGTGAACTTTCGAGAAAGCACAAAATTCAGTTAAAAATTTCTGGACTAGAGTTCGAATTTCGTCTGATAAACAACAAAAATTTGTGAAAAGAGAAATATTAAAATTGTTCAAGAAGTCAAACAAAATTGGAAAATACACCAAACTTGAGATTTATTATACCAAATAATAAATAAATTAATAAATCTATATGTTAAAAAATATGTTTTTATCAAAATTTTGATATATGTTTTAATCAAAATTTTATGAATAATTCTAATAAATAAATATATTAAGAAAATTTAGTAAGAATTTCTAATGCTGTATAAAGGTCAGGCTATAAATTATCAAAAAACATTTTTCAACAGAAAAGAAGTAATGTGTGTATGTGTGTGTGTGTGCGTGTGTGTGTGTGTGTGTGTGTGTGTGTGTGTGTGTGTGTGTGTGTGTGTGTGTGTGTGTGTGTGTGTGTGATTACTGTAATATAACTAAATGTAATAACTATAATAAATATATAAATGTAATAACTTACAGACAAAATATTGTTTTTTTGGATATGTGTGAGTAACTCATTTATAGCTGGTAGAAGTATAGGAAATATATAATATTGCAGATAAGCTTTTGCAGAGCCTATAATGAAATTTTATTTGAAACAGTGAAAACTTCAACAAACAAATTAGTAAACATAATATAGCTTATTTGAGAAGTTTGTTTTAGATTTTTTTTTAAACATACTTTAACTTATAGTTTGAATACAATTTAAACAATAGTTTAAAATTTTTTTTAAACATTTGTTATTATTCTCTACATTTTTTTACAAATTAAAAATTAGTTGTTATTATAATATTCTAATCATATTTATTACATTTTGTCTTTATTATCATATTCTATATGACAAAATATCTAAAGGTTTATTTTTATGTTATGAAAACACAACAAAAAATAAAAAATAAAATTGTTGCCTTGCAGAAATTAGACTCACAGATTTACACTTTGTTTATATGTGAATATATCATCAATGCAAATGCTCATTAATTCAAAGAAATCAGGTGCTTATAAATTCAATTAAATTTCATATAAAAGCTATATGTGTGTATGCATAAACGTGTGTATACCATGTATGCATAAAGGATGGTTTAAATGGATTTTTTCTATCTAAATGTAAAGTTAAAAAAAAGTTAAGGCAAATTTCTTAAATAAAATTGTTGCCTTGCAGAAATTAGACTCACAGATTTACACTTTGTTTATATGTGAATATATCATCAATGCAAATGCTCATTAATTCAAAGAAATCAGGTGCTTATAAATTCAATTAAATTTCATATAAAAGCTATATGTGTGTATGCATAAACGTGTGTATACCATGTATGCATAAAGGATGGTTTAAATGGATTTTTTCTATCTAAATGTAAAGTTAAAAAAAAGTTAAGGCAAATTTCTTAAATAAAATTGTTGCCTTGCAGAAATTAGACTCACAGATTTACACTTTGTTTATATGTGAATATATCATCAATGCAAATGCTCATTAATTCAAAGAAATCAGGTGCTTATAAATTCAATTAAATTTCATATAAAAGCTATATGTGTGTATGCATAAACGTGTGTATACCATGTATGCATAAAGGATGGTTTAAATGGATTTTTTCTATCTAAATGTAAAGTTAAAAAAAAGTTAAGGCAAATTTCTAAAATCTCATGTTCTTCCTGGCTTAAACATGCTTTGCAGACCAGGATTGAGTATTTTAAAAAAATAATAAAAAGTTACAAATAAGAAATTTGCTCACACCATTATAAATAACTAAAACATTTTTTTATAAATGAATAATTGAAATGCCAAATAAAAAACACAAAAAAAATTATACATATTAAAAAAAAAGCAAAGTTAATATACATACCAATAAAATTTAAAAAAACAACATGCATATTCTAAAAAAACAAAAAAATTACATAGTTCTTTTGGAGGTTTATTTGAATCCCACTTTTGGTTTTTCAACAAATAGAACAACTCTTGCATGTCTTCACTAAACTTATTTTTTTTTTTATTGTTCATGGCAACTATATTATCATTCATTTAAACAATTATCACAGATTAATTAAAACATTTATTTAAACAATTATCACAGATTAATCAATAAAACAATTATCACAGATTAATCAAAAAAAAAAAAAATGTCATCATTCTTTCAATAAATTTTACTTATGAAATTGAAAAATAATTAAAATTTAATTTAAGGTGTTTGGAAAATATTTTAGAAAAAATAAAAATAAAAAGACTATTTTTTACTATACCTCTTTAAATTTAAATCAAATTTTTAACATATATATATAAAAGAAATAAATTAAAATTAAAAAATTCTTATGTTAATATTAAAATAAACCAATCTATAAATACACATGAAAATATATAATTTAATTTACAACTTTATTCTTATTGTTTAACAAAGTATCTTTTGCAATCAACAATAACTGGAAAGCATCTGTACTATTGGCAAGTTTACATTTATCAGGATGAAGAAGCTTGGCTAGACGTTTATAAGCTTTATTTATATCTTCCACAGAAGCATTACTTGTTAAACCAAGACATTCATAGCTATTTTTGCTGGATTTTAAAAGATTAATAGCATCCAACTGTTCCTTGCAACAGTCTAAAAAAGAAACATTGAACATTAAATCAGCAAAAAAACAAAAAAAATTTATCATACTATTTTTAGTTTTGCTAGTTTTTACATTAAATGGTTTATAATTATTTGACAATTTAAAAATTTGAGAATCTAACTTTATGATTCTTAAGAAATTCAAGTTGAAAATTTATGTCAACTCAGCATTTTTTGTAAATATTCAATTTAAATAGCAATACTTAATGAATATCAACTTAAAAGCACAGACAGTCTTCCATACAACAGATTCAAACATCAGTTTTAAATTCTTTTTTAGAGCACCATAACGAGCACCATAACTATATGTAAGTCAAATAATAAATACAATTTGACAGCCAAAATTATGATGTCACCACAACAGAGACAACTTTACAACTTATAGTATTAAAATTTTATTTTTTATCTTTTCTAAATGCAACCTTTTATGTAATGCTTACTTAAACGCATTAAAACTTATATTATATTATTATAATATTATTGTGTTCTTCAGACATTTTAAACACATCTTGTACACAAGGTTGTTGGGCTAAAACCATAAACTCATACATATGACAACATGCAGATAAAATTACATTGATTCATTTAAGAATCTATATAGAAGACTTTATCAAACTTATATGCAATAAAATAGATAAACGTACACATTATTTACTTAAAACTAAAAGCTAACCCAAAAACCTCACAAAAAGAGCAATCCATTAGAAAAAAAGACAGCTTCCATAAGTCATTGTTTTTACTATCTAATTTTCTTCCAAACTCTTTGTTTAAAATGCAGTGAAAAATTGCCACTGGAATAAAAACATACACTTTATTTTATTATTATATAGCATAAATCAAATGGTGTAATGATATCAAAGCCATTTTTCCTTGTTTCTAAAGATACTGGCCACAAAGCACAATACTTTTTGTATAAAATACAACAGTTCATTATTAATTACATCTAGGCAAACACTACACAAATTAATTTAAAATAGTTCACTTTTAGAGGTGCAACGCATATTAGAAACTTTATTATTATTTGTGATCACAAAGTAGACTTTTATAAAAAAATTGAACCTTCCTCCTCCGATCTTGAGCCTACACCCAGAACAAAAAAGGTAGCATTAATATATTAACTCACTATTGACCTCAAAAAGAACTCAAAAAATCTTTTTACACCTTACAATTAAGGTTTAGCTAGTTTTGATATAAATAAATTAGCAATAAATTTTATACCGATTCACCATTTAAAAGCTTTACATAAAGACTTAATGTAAAAAGGAAAAAAAAAATGAAATAGTTTTTATTATTCTAACTTTTATTATCAGCAATGAGCAGACTATTTTTAAATAAATTTTACAACAAATTTTTTTAGTATTGCAAAATGCATAATGTTATGCATTTTATAATACATAATGCTAAATGTTATTGTTATTAATAATATGGGACTTTTTTAATTATAATTATAGACTTATATTATATTGGAAATAAATAGACTTATATTATATTAGAAAATAAAATTATTGGAAAGAAAGTGGAGTACTTAAAAAGTTAAAACCTCTATGGCCTACAATGGTTTTAGTAAAAATAACACTAACATTAAAAATATAAACCTTCAAAGCAGACAAGCTTAAATCATTACCATTTCAGATTATCTCATCAAGGTTTATATTTTATATGAACTTTATTAATTAAAAAAATGATTATATAAAGGAGAAGTTGTACAATAAAACTACTAAAAAAAATGAAGAGAATTACTTATAAATCATATAACACTCATTTATATGATATAAATGAGTGTTATATGATTTATAAGTAATTGATTTATAAGTAATAATAGTGATGATTTATAAGTAATAATAGTGGCCTTCTCGGCCTTCAGGAGGTGAATTACCAAAAAAAAAAAAAAAAGTATAAAAGTTGGGATATAAATTATATCCCAACTTTTATACTTTTTTTTTGGTAATTCACCTCCTGAAGGCCAAGAAGGCCGCTACAGATAAGGAGGCTACTTGTGGTTATAACCCTCTCTCAACTCTGAAACACGAATCTTGACAAACAAGGCTGCTGCGCAGAGAAACAAGTTGAATTTTTAAACTGCAATTTAAGAAAAATGTCTCAACAGTATTGAAACTTTTATTTTTTACACAAAATAATGAAATTATAACAGAAATGTAACAACACAAACAACTTTTTGGTAAGTAAGCACTTTTAAATTATTTAAAAAACAAACATAACTTATGACTTATGCTTGCCGTAACACTCTTCATCATTTTTCTAGAGCTGGACGGTAGGGAAATTTTAGTTCTGGGAGATCTTTAATGTTAATTAAAAAAAGTATAGGGCCAAGGATAGAGCTTGAGGAACCCCTAAATTTACAGGAAATGAAGAAGAGTGCTGTCCATCGAACCTCTCCACATCTATCTAATTAACCTCTCCATCTCTATCTAATGCACAATAAAACCTATCAGTTATTACTGCTAACAAATCAATATAGATAACCATCAAGACTAAGATCACAAGATGAAACAGCCAAACTCAACTTTTTTTAAATTGGTAAAAGACCTTGACTCAAAACACATATAGTACTCAGTGAACTATCTAATAGTCCAAACAATAGCCTCATTAATATTAATAAACCCTAAGCCTTAAAGGCTCAAAATGTGGCCTCAGCAATGTTCACTAATAGTACAAGCAGACACACCATCTATGCGCAACATGGCACTGTTAATACTCTGATATTTTACAGCTGTTGATGGAATCAGTCTTTCCGAGGGCTAATACAGAGTTCAAGAAATCTGACTACAAGCCAACATCAGAACCATGAAACTGAGCTTTAGAGTTGTACCCTCATTAGGAGATAATAGAAAAAGTTGCCTAGCCATAAAAATAGAGACACAAGCAAAATCCATGCTATGAGTCAAGAAGATCCAGCATTTAACATCCTAAACTGGAAACAATGTATTTAAATACAACTATATCAGTCTTATAGATGAAGGAATGCAAAGCTGGTCAACAGATAAAACCTGTTTACCCTTTAAATTTTTAATCAGAGCTGGAAATTTCTATCAAATATTAAAAAATGCTACTGCTATCTTCTGCTTCTTAGGCAACCAGAGATTGATACTGCTCTTCTGCTACTTTTTCAAATTTTATTAGATTAAATTATCAAAAACAATTGTGTCAAGGCTTTTAGCTGTAACTAGTCATAGCTAAAATTAATCTCAAAAACAGCCTTGACACAATTGTTTTTGATAACTTAATAATATCAGCATAAAAAAAGTAAATGATAAATAAATATATAACTTAATTTAGTTAAAAGCAATTAAAAATCAAAAATTTGAAAATTGATTTCAAAAAAATAGTGAACTTATTATAACTAATAATCCATCTTTATTCTTTAAAAAAACTTTTTACTAATTTATATTTATTTTTATTTTTTTTAATTACTATTTTAGACAAAAAGATATATCACAATTTTTATGTGAACTTTTAATCTAAATTACTTTAGATTTATAGTTTTTTTTTCCATTTATAACAATGATATTGTAAACTTTTAATTTAAAAAAGTTAAAATTTTAATCAAAGTTGACAGTATCATTATTTTAGTTTCATGTTATTTACCATCTGACATATCTTTTAACTCGTTTCTGAGTAAAATTTTTCTCGAACATTTAAACATTGTCTGAAAAACTTCATTGACACCTTCTCCTGTCAGAGCAGAAGTTTCAAAATAAAAGCATCCATTTTTTCTCGCCCAAGTACATGCCTGGTCCCACTCAATAAGACGTTTTTTCTTATCAATTTTATTTCCACATAACAACAATATAAGTTTGTTAAAATCTTCAGTGTTAGTATGCTGTTTAATTTCTTCAATCCATTTATTTAAACAATAAAATGATTCACTAACAGTAATATCAAAAACTAAAATAACAGCATGTATGTCTTTGTAAAACTCATTTCTTACCTAGATAACGTAAAAAAAATAATAATAAATCTATAAGTAAATATTATACAATAAATGCTCAAAAAAGATTAAATTTTATATATAAGTTTAAGAAAAACCCAAACAAACCTCATAAAAAATAGGATGACCAGATAAATCAAATAAGTTTATTTTTATAACAGGTTCACCAAATTTGGCCTCTGTTACACCAAAATCAACACCAATAGTGGGAAGATACTTGCTTACAAAACGCTTTTCACAGAATCTTTTTATTAAACAAGATTTTCCTGTTTCTGGATTCCCAAGAGAGATTACATTAAGATAGTTTGCTGAATTTTCCAGATTTGATTCCATTTTATGTTTTTTTTGGCAATAAACATGGGCAAATTATTTTAAGTTATAGAAAACATAACTTCTGGATGTTACACCAACATAAGTATATCTAAGATACATAAGTAATTTAAATCTTCTAACAGAGTATTACAAGAAAAAATGTAAACATTTACTTTTTATTTTTTTCATGACATACTATTATAGTTAAATTATAAGTTTTATTTTAGGATTGGAATTTTTTTCTCACAACATTAGAAAGCACAAATTTTCGACATATTAGAAATATTACATTAGAAAGTAATCTTTGACTATTCCAAAATAAACAGTAGATACTATGAATCATAGAGCCTACTGTTTATTTTTGAATGATCAGAATTAAAAATTTATAATTTCTAATGTTGTATATATAAAAAATAACGCACTTGAATATAAACAAAGCCCAGTGAAAAATAAAAATAGATTGGGCTGCAAAAGGCATTAAATAACATGATCTTTATTTGTATTTGTATAGAGCTGAACTTTCTACGGATGAGGTTCGCTTTAGCATACATAGAACATGCGTGTTTTAAGATATCTTTGTCATCCTGCATATCGTTTGAGATCAAATGACCCAGGTATTTATATTGACAAGTGTATGTGAGAACTAGTGTATGTCAGATAAGGTGAAACAAAAGCTATTTACTAAGGGTTCATAAATTCAAAAAAACATTATTTGAGACTTTATACTGTTATAAACTATATCATATTTCACAGCATAACTAGAGCATAAGTCAAGAAATATCTAGAGACCTTTGGCTGAGGGTGCACACAGGATCATCAACATAAAGAAGATGGTTAATGAGAGAAGGACCAAAGCAGCAACCTACGGTAGTTTTATTGAATAAAACACTAAGATCATTAATATATATATATTAAATAGAAAAGAAAGTACACTTCCTTGATGCACTCCATTACTGATATTAAATGTTTTAGATAATATTTCACTCCATAGGATCTGAGCTGTTTGACCATCATACCAGACAGTGAGTAAGCGTAAAGTTACACCAGAGATAATTTTAGATTTTTTTCATAAATAGTGTGTCTAATCGAACTCTATCAAAGGCCTTACTAATGTCAATAAATGTCACATGCATATTTGAGCCATGTGACAGGTAAAAACTTAAAATATCTTTTAAAATAAGAACTGGCATAAAAGTGTTATGGTTTTTTTTTAATCTGAGTTGATTGGGAGTCCCAGTGTAACTTTCATTAACGCGTGAGACAAAAATATGTGCCAAAATCTTGGAGAAAACTGTAACCAAAGCAATTGGTTGATAATTAGCAGAATTGAAGATGTCACCATTCTTATCTTTAACCACAGGAGAAATAACAGAGTGCGAAACGCCAATAGACATGTGTCCGTGGCAAAGCATAGAGAAAAAGCACAATGATAAAATACTAAAGTAATTTGGGCTAGCATAGAGATAATGCTCCAACTGAAGTCCAAAATGGTCAGTTACTTTTCCACAAGTCATATGATTTATGATAGATTGGACTTCATCGGGAGTGACAAGATAGGCATCATCTTGAAGCCGATTACAGTATTTAACTATAAAGGTGTCATTTATATTAGATGTTGGCTTGACTGAGTTAAACAGGGTGCAATAATTATTTTACCACATGTGACATACATTATCAGGACCTGATGCAGAGTCAATATAAGGCGGAAGACTACATATTATTGTGAATACAAGTCACGGTAGACCAGAAACTGGTATAGTTTTTATTTGCTAAACTATTTGTCAGCTTTTCTGCTTTTATAATATCTTCTTTTTTGCAGCAGCAGCAGTGAATGGCATATTTATATAAGGCTCTTGCATTTTTAAAAGTATTTAAGATTGAGCTAAATTTTGGGTTATTTAGCTACGCCATAGACAGAATGCATCTTTAGCAGCCTTGTGAGCATCTTTTACATAATCCGTCCATCCTGGCATAGGTTATTTTTTTATAGAAACTTGATTTAGAATGGTTAATACACTAAGAGGAAGATTGAATAAGACATTCATTCAGTATATTGTACAGGTAGTTAATCTGCTTAACATGCTCAAGCAAGTTACAATGTACATTACTACAGTTAATTACTTCAAACTGATCCATGTTAATTGAAGACACTAAATTAAACACAGTGGAAGTATACTCCTTTATCATATTGGTTGGCAGAGCATTAAAATTTATTTTAGGAGATCTTGTTGAAGTAGGGTGAGCAGTAGAGGAGGAAGATATATCAATTTTAAACAAAATATCAAACGCTAGAGGTAAATGATCAGATGAACTAGTTGCCTGAATTATTTCGAAGTTATTAACATAGCACAGAAAACTTTGGGAGACAAGACAGTGATTGATCCAAGAAGAGGTGCCACATGTTTCACTAACAAAAAGTAAAAGAATCATGTAGAAGACAGATATCAGCTGTAACAAGATGTTCGTCAGTACAAAAATCAGCTAGGAGACTACTACATGGGGGCCGAAATCATTGATCACAATTAAAGTCACCAGTAAAAACAAATTTACCATTTAAATCTGAATTAAGAGCCGAAAGTCTACCAAGGCATCAAAATAGTTATCAACATTCTCATATGAATCACAAGGCATGAAG